CCACAGAGGGACCCCCACCAGGCTCTCAAGGACCTGGCCAAGGTTTGCCTCCTGACCGACTGCACCCTCCTGCTGGCCTGGAGGTAGCACCTGTCCCTGCTGTCCCCTGGTGTCCCCAAGTGTCCCCAAGTGTCCCMAACGCTGTCCCCTGTGTCCCCCAGCCCTGAGGAGGCCGCCAGGTACCTGGAGACCTTCAAATCGTACGAGCAGAAGCCGCCGGACCTGCTCAAGGAGCGCGTGGAGCACGATTTCCTGTCCCGGGTCAGTGGTCTCAGCGCTCCCACAAGTGTCCCCTTCCCCCCAGGGCTGTCCCCTGACCCCCCCTGCCCTTTGTCACCCCCCCCAGGTGACAGACTGCCTGACCAGTGTCAAATCTGTCAACAAAACCGACACCCTGAGCCTGCTCAGCACCTTCGGGGTGAGTGACACTCAGGGATGGGCCACCCTTGGGGACAGGCCACCCTCATTACCCATTTTCCCCATTTCTCCCTCTTTTTTCTTTATTTTTCCTTTTTTTTTTCCTTATTTTTTTCCCCAATTTTCTCCTATTTATCGTTTTCAATTTCCCCCCATTTTTCCCATTTCCCGCCCCATATTTTCACCCTCTTTCCCCTATTTCCCACCATTTCTCGCTCCCCTTTTCTCCCCATTTTTTCGGTTTCCCCCATTAGTCCCCGTTTCGCTTGGGGCCGTGTCCCCTTCCCCCGGGCCCCCCCAGCCTGTCACCCCCGTGTCCCCTCCCCGCAGTCGCTGGCAGCCGTGGTGGCCGCGTCCCGTGAGGATCTGTCCCTTTGTCCCGGCGTGGGACCCCAAAAGGTGAGTGCCCGACTGCCCCTGGGGACATTGGGGACAGAGGCCACCCCCATGTCCTCCTGTCCCTCTGTCCCCACCCAGGCCAAGCGACTCTTTGATGTCCTGCACGAGCCTTTCCTCAAGACGCCCCGATGAGCAAAAACCTCAAAAAAAAAAAACCCAAATTCCCTTTTTTTAATAATAAATGATGTTTCTCAGTGACAAAAGTGACACTGGTGACATTGGGGGTCACTCCTGCTCCTGCTCTTTGTGCTTCTTCTTCTTCTTTTTCTTCTTTTTGGCCACCTCAGGCTCCTCTGGGGCCACCTCGGGCTCCTCCGTGGCCACCTCCGTGTCCTGGGGGGGTCCCGGTCCCTCGCCGGGCTCTGTCCCCTCCGATGTCCCCGTGTCCCCTGATGTCTCCGGTGTCACCTTCGCCTTCTTCTTCCTCCTCCTCTTGGCCGGGGGTGTCCCCGGGGGGGTCGCGAAGCTCCGGGTGATGGTCAGGGACCCCCGCAGGGGGGGGGCACAGCCCAGGGACCCCTCCGAGGGGACAGGGGACAGCAGCAGGGGACAGTTGTCMCCTCCCCCCGGGCCCCCCCGCAGGACGTAGAGCTCGGGGTCSTTGTCACCACCGTCGTTGTCATTGTCACCGGTGCGGGGGGGGCGGAGCCGCTCGAGGCCGTTCAGGGGCACCGGGCAGCCCTCGAGGCTGG